GAATAATTGCCAATGGGCCATTAATTCATTTGTTCGTAGATGCTACAATAACCTGCACTGGTGTGTACTTTTTCATCAACCAGATTTAAATATTACAAAATTAACATATACCAGTGGAGATAGTGCAGGGTCTACCAACAGACCTAATTACTAAATTATTAAAGTGTAATAGCATATCGATCATTTTTCAACATAACCTCTTAAATTTTTAATACAAATATAGGTACTTTATATAATACATCATATCCTCTGTGCTTTACATACCTGAGTTGTTACGGTAAATAAAAATCAGACAAAGGAACCAAAGAAAGGAACTATTTTCAACAAAATCATATGGAGAAATGAGAAAATTCATCCATCAAAAGATCAAAACTTCTTGCAATATTACACCCTCTTTTTATACTCTCAGAAATATTGACTAGAACAGTATTAGAGAGACTACAGTTTCTATAACTTGGTAGAGTAAAGAGAAGTCGAAACCGTTGCGATATTGCATTGCGCTGTTTTTGTATAATTCTCGGGGACATTAACGAAAATCATTGCCAGTAAAATTCGAAAAGCTTGAGTTTCTATGTCTCTGAGGAAAATAGGAATCCGAAGTTGCTGCACCATTGGACTGAACCCTTTTTTAATAATTTCTAGAGACATATATGACTGCACCATTCGACAGGGTCGAGTTTCTACTCCTCTGTTGAATATAGAAAATCAAAATAATGTATCTTGTAAGACACCATTGAGTTTGACTTTAAATATAGTCGTGCATAGGTATAGAGCCGAAAAATATAAAAACAAAGCACGATTCAATACAGTTATGATAAAACTTTAAGATTTGATATTCAAACGCGGAGTCATCCTATACACTTCTATAATTTTTCGTTTGCTGTGTAACGAAACAAACACAAAAAACGAGCAATAGCACTTGGGGTTAATTAATGCCCAAATATTGAAAAGGTGTTAGTATTATATAAAATACAGTTTTAAACTTAAAAATAAACCTTGCTGTATTATTAACACTATACAACAAAAAATATTACATACCATTTTCATTCATTTGAACAAACCGATGCTAAAACGTGGTTAAAACAAAATCCAAACAACAATGAATGGCGCTGTCCTTAGGTACATGAAGAACAATATTGTTCTTCATGTACCTAAGGACAGCGCCATTCATTGTTGTTTGGATTTTGTTTTAACCACGTTTTAGCATCGGTTTGTTTTATATAAATACTACTGCAAGTACCAAGTACCCAATATGTTGTGTTACAGGCTTCAACATAACATATTCGTACGAGTCAATACGTAAAAAATGTTTAAAACCAATGAATTACCTTTTTCAATCGTAAAATGGTCGTTAACAACTTTATAGATACTTCTTACACAGTGACAATTCTGAGACTCCGAATTAATGGCGCCGGCCAATAAGAGCACCGGTCGTCTCCGGAGACGACCGGTGCTTTTATTGGCCGGCGCATTAATTCGCAGTCTCAGAATGGGGTAGTTAAATTTTTTCTGACCTATACTTTTTATGGTTTTATTCAAGGCGTTTTGTAATTTTAAACATTTTTGTGAAATCGGAATTTCAATTGAGTTTACCGTTTTCGAGATATTTACAAAAAAAAATCTCCTAATTACGTCACTAGGCTATTGCCAACGTTGCCAGCTTTTTCTATGGTGTTTAGTTTAAGATTCTTACGATAGATGGCGCCACGTTATAATATTTTAGTTTTAAAACTACTTGATCTAAAATTTTACTTGAGAAGAAGAAGAATTGATTTTTTGACGTTTCTTTTTTTCGGGTTATGTTTTTTTTTTAATTTAGATTATTGAAAATAAATGTTATTGTTATGTTATTTGTAATTGATATTAGATAACTGATTTATTAATAACGGACTCCAAAGCAGAGGAATCTTGTGGAATGGTTGGTTACATTGAACATTGGAGCTTTTAAACAAATAAAGTAAGTACCTATAATTATAATCATATTTTGCCGTAAATGCATTTCATTAGTATTCTTTATATTCTTTTAGATATATCTTGGACTCTAAAATATCAAACAGTAATATGATACCTCGTAATAAGGAAGATAGGTACTTAATGAATTTGGTGACCATCTGTTAATAATAATTTTAATCAAAATGTCTATTTGTAAACCCTGCACTATCTTTACCTACTATGTACGTTATTGCAGCAATATTTAAACCAGAATTGTCGAAAAGTACAAAAATGTACTCTAGAGCTTAGTATCTTCGAACACTCCAAAAGTTTGTTATACATTTTTTTAATCTTACAAAAGGTTTTGATGCTCATCATCAGGGATGCAAGTTTTATAAAAACTATACACAAATATCATAAATACCATTGTTAACTTACATTTACTGTTATTTTTTGTAAATTTATTTCATTCATTTTCAGCTTTATTTTGCCACTTTTTTCTATGAAATATATTAAACTCTGCTTTAGACAGTTATTAGGTACCTATTTATTACATTTTATTAGGTTTCACACGGTGTTTCAATGTGTAAACCTATCAATAAAACTTTTAATTTCAGAATTTTCTTTAACCTCCTCTTCTTCTTCTTTCACTCAACTGACAGTGACAGTATTTGTACATAACCTCTTCGGGTATTTTCTGACATAACCGAATGAAATCATTAACAAGACAACTTGACAACAGGGTAATTTTCAACCAATAGAAATCTTAGAATGTTGGTCACATGGCGGGGTTTGTGACGTCATAAAAATTTATATTTTTTGTAAATATCTCGAAAACGGTAAACTCAATTGAAATTCTGATTTCACAGAAATGTTTAAAATTACAAAACGCCTTGAATAAAACCATAAAAAGTATAGGTCAGAAAAAATTTAACTACCCCATTGTCACTGTGTAAAGTTGTTAACGACCATTTTACGATTGGGTGCACCCAGAGACATTGATGTGTCTCTGAACACATCTCTGTGGTTTATACATATAACTGAAGACTATAATCTTGCCAGTAGACATAATTCAAATATAAAATGAATATTCCTATAATGAAGCGGATTATTACTAGGCGATAGGGCATATTCCTGGAATATTTTCGAACCTTAAGGAATTCCTTGCAGTCTGGATAATATTATCCTAACCACTCAAACAAATTGCAGTAATTTCGCCCAAAAAATTAATCCCCAAATGGAATTGCCAATGGCATGTTATTAAGACATTTAACAGCCGGGAATTCTTTTCGAATTTTGATTTTTGGTGATTTTGGTTTTATCTGAAACTTAAATTTGACTACTGAATCACAATCAAGAGGTCAAACCTATAAAGAAAACATGTCACGAACGTAAATATCGGTTAAGGTTTAGTTTTCGCAAAAAAATTTTTGTGTGGTTATTAAAGATTTAATAAACTAGCACATTTACTAAAAAGTGTTTAATAAATTAATTTATATTTCATCTAAAATTATTGATTGTATTTTTCTCCAATAATTAAAGCATGTTTACCAGCCCATTTATGTTGAAACACTATTTTTAATAAATTTATTTATAAAGTTATTAGATAACCTTTGTTTTAATAATTAATTTTAAGTATATTCCTATATTTAAGAAATATATGATTTTCCATATACTTAAATGAATATTTAGATTTTTTTATATTTCTTAAAATTAATAAAAAGTTAACTGTTAACAGTTTAAAAATCTAAATGGGTCAGAATTTCTCAAACGGGCCACCTGAATTAGGTCAAAATTAGTTTTTGTTTGTAGATACATTTTTTTGATAGTATTTTACATCACTAACACAAATCCTAAAGGATTTTGTAAAAAAAAAATTTTCAATTGACATATTCATGATATTAAAAGTCAAAGTTTTTAATAATTAAAAAATAAAAAAAATTCATTATGGCTGAACTAATTATCCGATTCCAACGATATAACTAGCGTTGGAATCTTGTTTTGACATAGATTCTTTGTTATTTTTTTCAATTGTCCTATTTTCATTTAGGTCGATTTTTTTTTGTTTTTTTTATACCAAATTCGGAAATAATTGCCTTCTGCGCCAGCTATCGACTCGAGAAAAAAAAACACATATACTCCAATCATTTCTCGAAATTATGCTGCTGAGAAAAAAAATGGCCCGCAGGTTGACAAAAAGTTATTCGTCCTTTTGTGGCCGCGCGCGGTGTCAGCTCACGCTCCGAACCGTGTACGCTGTACGCGCTTGTGACGCGACGTCTTACGGTGGTCTGGAACCTGCGGGCCATTTTTTTTCTCAGCAGCATAATTTCGAAAAATGATTGGAGTATATGTGTTTTTTTTTTTCGAGTCGATAGCTGGCGCAGAAGCCAATTATTTCCGAATTTGTTATAAAAAAAACAAAAAAAAATCGACCTAAATGAAAATTGTACAATTGAAAAAAATAACAAAGAATCTATGTCAAAACAAGATTCCAACGCTAGTTAAATCGTTGGAATCGGATAATTAGTTTAGCCATAATGATTTTTTTTTATTTTTTAATTACTAAAAACTTTTACTTTTAATATCATGAATATGTCAATTGAAAATTTTTTTTTTACAAAATCCTTTAGGATTTGTTCTAGTGATGTAAAATACTATCGAAAAAATGTATCTACAATCAAAAACTAATTTTGACCAAATTCAGGTGGCCCGTTTGAGAAATTCTGACCCAAATACAAGTTTATAAAACCACGTAACGTACGGTTTGATGGTAAAGGATACAGTTACAAATTGCTAGGTTGTCAAATGTATTTATTAACACCATATACCTATGAGTTATAGGTATATGATTAACACTTGTGCATTTTTAAATTAAACAAAAATTGTGTTTAAATACAGTTTTTTAATACCAAATGTATTTATCGGATTATCTATAAAATTAACGAAATAGGTACAAAATATTGTTTATATTCAAGGTTTTCTCCCAATTATAAAAAATCTCAGATGGTATATTTGACAACAATGTATAAATTTACATTGAATGTTTTATCATGAAATAAAAAATCACATGAAAATAATCTAAGAAAAATATAGGTAAATCAGCTGTTATTCGGCTTTAAAATTCCTGCGGCCACAGGATCGCGCGACTTGACCGGCAAATGTTTGGATTATTCAATGTGTTGAAGCAGGCCGTGCGTGTCAGTCAAAATGATGGGAAGTGAGAGCGTTGCTGCGTTGTTTATATTTTTTGTTGTTTCTTGTAATGGTAAGTTGATTTTTATTATTATTCATTATTTTTCATGGGCAAAAATATGGTTTAGTGCGATTGAGGTTATAATATTTTGTATAAATTATATTAGCAGTAAAATCAATAAGTGCATTAAGTATTTTTATAGTGATTGTTTATCTAAATATTTAATATTATTATTTAATAATTAAGATATATGTATATTTTAAATTTTAAACGCAAATAAATAATTGCTGTTGAGTTCAATATTTAAATTATAAAAACCACCATAGTGGTTTCAAAACTTGTTTGGAATATTGTGTTATTATTTTTGCCAGAGAAAAAAAATAGCAAATAACCGGTTTTGGTTAACAGCCCCAAAGATGCAAAGATGATACCATACACAGAAGATTCTATAAATACATAGTTTTTATCAACATAATTGGTCATTAAAAATTAATTAGTAGAGTTTTAACAACTTGATAAAGATAATTGAGATTAAAATACTTATGCATTAATTTACTTTAAAGTAGGTAGGTACCTACATAAATGCGATAGTGAATTTATAATAATTATTATACAACTAATTTTTAAATTATAAAATTATAATTAATCCATTAGGCACTAATGATTAGTGCATTGAAATTTTAACAAAATAAATGTATTTTTAATATTAATCCCGACGCATTCGCCATTTGTACAGCTACAATAGAAGTTTTATTTATTATATAATAAATAAAACTTCTAAGCTTCCACACATCATTTCTAACTGAGACTGTTTCAATTTCGTGGGGTTAAAGCCTAGATAAAAATTCTTTTTTATCTAGGGGTTAAAGTAGTGGAAGTGAGAACCACACGGGTTATTGCATTCAATGCAATGCATTGAGGTGCATGCGTGGCCGCATTGCCGGTATTAAAATTAATACTATATTTTTGTCCTTATTTGTGAAATATAATAAATACTTTTTAATTAATTGTATATTAATTTTATAAAAAAGCATTTAATAATATTAAATCCACAAAATGATAATATTTTAAGATTTTATAATGGCACGTTAATAACAGCAAGAATTTGGCAACGTAGTATATAGACCACGCTAGCCAAAAGGTTTTTATCATAGACATATTAATATGTAGATGGTTTTTATAATTAACCATTTTGTTTGTTTTCTGTTGTATAGGTACCAATTCTTTTGGCATTGGTTTTTTTATGTGGCTTTTACATAATATGCATATTATGCCACTTTTTGCTTTTTATAAACCCAAACCACAGATATTTATGCAAGCTTAACTTAGGAGATGTAAGCAAATGATTTAGAAAAAATTGATATAACCTAAATTTTATTTAGTTGACAATTCGTATCATACTTGGACGTATTATGGTATCATATACTTTAAATCCCCCACTTATAAGTGAACTGACTAAGCGCATAAAGTTAAATGATACGTCAAATCGACAAAATTCCTATCAAAAAAGGAAACAATGTCATCTATACAAAATATAACGAATAAGCGGTATATTTGTGGAAGTATGTAAATATTATACAAGACATATGTCTCGTATATATATATATATTGCGCATAATCTCGAGTGTAATATAGAGTAAATGACTACATTAGATGCAAAACTCGATCGGTTTTTGCAAATTTTTAAAAATACATATTTTATCCTATTTATGTACAGTACGCAAGGAATCTGCCAGCATGTTCTAGGAATATTCCCAAAAGGTTAGGAATAATCCGGATTATTCCAGGAAGATTCCTAAGGAACATTATTAGAAAACACACTTACGGCTTATTCCAGGAATATTACTGGAACATTATTGGAACTAAAAGTTTTTTTAGCCAAAAAATTTTTTGGCCAAAAAAATTTTTGTCAAAATTTTTTTTGGAAAAAAAAATTATTTTAAAGATAATTTTCAACACATTTTCTGAAAGGAAAATTTAATATTGAAATAAATTATTTCTTATTAAATATTTTTTTAGGTTTCTCGGCAACGTCGGTATTTATATTTTAACCTCTATGCTTTGATTTTTATGAGTTGAACTTATAAAAAATCAATATTTTTATAAAATTTATTTATTATATTAATAAGTTTTTTATTTCAGCAAACTTTACTAGGGACGGAAATATTTTTTTAAAGAACCCACACTCGAGTAATTATTTGTTACACGGATTTATTAAATTTTTTACCGTGAACGAATTTAAAAAATTAAGGCACGAGTACTATTGTGATAAAAAAATTGCAGTACCTAGTTGGCGCGCTGAATTTGAAACGTTCGGTTGTGATTCGGTTTCACTCGAGAGGATTCGCGTAATGCACGCATTTCATTGGTCGGTTGTTTTGTGCAGGCCGTCATGGCGTCATGGTTCGTGTTTGTGGCAAAACTTTGTGCATTATTGAGCTGATCAGCCATTGTGCAGTATAGAGACATAATTAATTAATATAAATATTTTATTAATTTTTGTGTTTTCGTGTTTCACGTAAGATCTTGGTAAGTAATTTATGTACCTAGTAATTTCAGGTAAGGAAGATCTCATTAGAAGGAGGGCACAGTCTAAACGAATCTGTGAGATTGTACATGAATAAGATTATAACCAATGAAGTAGCCGCTGAGTACAGTTTAAAAGGTCACAAAACTAAAGAAAAATTTATTTTGTACAATAAATTAGTACAGTTAATCATAGGTATGTAGCTTGAAAAGTAAATTAAGGATTAGGTTATAATTAATTTGATTACAGACAGTATAAAGAAAAAATACAATGATGCAACCACAACCCAAGTGGAAGACCAAATAGGCATTTGGCTCACAAAAGCAAAGAGAAGGCTGGAAAAGCAATAGTCTATAATAAAAAAATATTCAATTAAAATAAATCGCATTATGATAGATATTTGTGTATAATTTTCAAGATATAAAGAGTGATTCTTAACTTATACACATAAACTTGGGAAATTATAGCTGAGGACCAATAATAACTAATAATAAAAAAAAAATTTAGTGAAACATTTTTAGTTTCAAAAATAATTTGAAGTAAATGTATAAAAACCAGATTATTTTGTTTTAATTTATCTTCATTCTAATCAACAATAATAAGAAACGTCAAATTTATAAATTGTAAATTTGAAGTTTCTTATTATTGGGGATTGTAAGTAAAGTAGGTACCTATACTCAAAGATAATATCTTTGGGTACCTATACTTATTAATTTATAAATTCACACAAAATGTTCCGGTTTTTTTGTAAACAATTCTTTCAAATTATTTTATGCGTATATATACGCATAAACTTGGAATTTCACATAAGACTTATACTATAAGTTAAGAATCACCATGCATACCTATACCTGATTTTTGTAAATCATCCCTGGAATATTTCAAAATTCAAAAAAGAACATTCCCAAAATATTTTCTCATATGTGCTTGGAATATTCCCGTTGTAATGCCTGAAATATTCAAAAAGCGGACATTTTATTATTCCAGGAATATTCTTGGGAATATTCCTGGACTGGTGGATTATTCCCAGGAATATTCCTGGCATGTTTTGGGAATAATTCCTTGCGTACTGGGACTGCACTGCCTACAGCATACCTAAATAAACCAGATGTATAAGTTAGTATTTGTAGAATAAAATACATATAAAAACTTAACGCAGATGCAAAACTGGGTATTTGTTTCTTCCTGTCGGACGCAAAACTCGGTATTTGCTGTAGACCAATCACGTCGCTAGTATACGCATTACGTGACGACATAACAATCACCTGATTAATTGTTATTTTTTGGAATTTGCACTTTTCACTTGCAAAACTTGATCTTTGAACGAGGAAGATGCAAAACTATGTTTTTAAATCTTTTGATTTCAATTATTTACTAAAATACCTAATTTTAAAGGATTTTTTTTTTACTTTTTTGAATAAAAAGTGCAAAAGCACGTCTATACAATTTTTACATTTTTTTTTCAAAAATGATCTTATGAGCGGTTTTTCATGTTTTTCTTAAAATCACTTATCCTGCAAATACAGAGTTGTGCATCTAATGTACTCATATAACTCATATAATGTACTCCAATAAGTAGATAATTAAATGATTTTTAAAAATAAATAAATAAAATTTGACACCTGTCAAAGGGTTAACATCAGTTTTTGCCAATTTTATAATAATAATAATAATAATAATCTTTATTAGTGCTAATACAATACAAATTGTTTACAACGTCAAAAAAGAAAAGAAAAAGTAGAAAGACAAAACTAATCACAAATACATTAAAAAGTACAAACTTACATAATATAGGTAAATATATAATTAAAACATTAAAATTGGTACTCAAAATACTCGTTTACAGAATAAAACCCGTTTTTTACAAATAAAGATTTTAGATATAACTTAAATTCCTTAAAAGCCATATTTTTTATGTTGATTGGAAGTTTGTTGTAAAATTTTATTCCGTTAAAATCTGGTCCACTTTGGCATTTATTGAGCCTGGAAAATTTATTCATAAGCTGATTTTTATTCCTTGTATTGTAGTCATGAAAACTATCATGGCTATGGTACAAATTCAAATTATTTTTAACATAAAGTAAATTTTGAAAAATATATAAGGAGGGTAGTGTTAGAATTCCAAGATTACTAAACATAGCCCTACAGTCGTCCCTGTAACCAAGAGAGGCGATGATCCTTATTACCTTGCGTTGAAGACCGAATATTTTATAACATTCCGCAGAGTGACCCCACACAATTAGAGCGTAAGATATATGTGACTCAAATAGCGAATAATATGCACTTAACAATACATCACTAGAGACATTACCAACTAAGTTACGCATGACAAATATACTGGTGCTCAATTTTTTGGATAACGCATCAACATGGCAATTCCATCTTAATTTGTTGTCTAATAAGATTCCTAGAAATTTAACTGGTTTTAGTGGGTATCCATCATTTATAGGTCTTAAAGAAAAAATGAGATTTTGTGTTTTTTCTTTGTTTAAATGTTATTATAGTCGCTTTTACCCAATAAAAAACCCGATTGGTTCAAATCACAGTGAATATTGAAATCGGCCAATCACTGATGCCTAACAACGTGAATAATGTGTTTATTATCCCCTTTGCTAGGCAGGGAATTTATAATGTTTATCATTATTCAGGGAAAAATTCAATATTATGCAATAGGAGTAGATAAAAATACTCCTTTTGTTAAAATTTTAATGCATGCATTATTATAACAGCAATATTTTTAAATCTAAAACTATTCTTTTAATCAGTTTTAGATTTTAGTCTTAAATCTAAAACTGATTGGAAAAATACCTAAAATTTAGACATTTTAAAATAATTTAATATATATTTAATTTTTAAAACAGTTTAATAAATAATCCATTACAATAAATATAACAAATCATTATTTGTTGTTTCTAAACTATAAAATAACAACTATCCAATCAGGTTTTTTTTTGTCAAATTTTTACGGTTTTTTTAAAGACGGATTTAGGATATACATTATTGTAGGTTTTCCGGCTGCAGAACAATATTGGGACGGAAAGTGGTTCCCCCATCAGCCAAATCAGCCAGACGTGAACCCCACAGTAGAAATTAAAACGGACCATAAAGCACACAGGGGACACTTATGGGACCCAAACCATGGAGTTGTCATGGGTGTGTCTGACCCTAATTGTGATGACGCAAAAGTAAAAAAAAAATATTTCAATTTTTTGTTTCATTATTTGTTTTCTTCTAGACTAATTTGACAATTGATTGGCTGGACAACGCAGAAAATTATACTTGTCTGGAAGATAAACACTTGTTTGCACCAAGTTATGACATTAGGCCTGAACTTTCAACCGATCATATTCCACTTAAATATAGCGTAAGAACGTTTTTTTGTATTCTGTTTTTAATTACAATTATATCATTTTAGGCACCTCATTACTGTATGAACGAAGCTATACCTTATAACACCATCATACCTACATTGTAAGTATATAATAATAAAGTCATATACTTACCACACTGTGTGGTAAGTATATGAATAAAGTCATATACTTACCACCTTAAAGTTTCTTGTCGCGCCATTTATGACCCATTGGTGATAGTTTTAATTCTTAAATTAATTTTGCTATAGGATGAGAGATGAAAAAAAGGTTGTTACAATTGTAAACCACATACTTCCAAGTATGTGGTTACAAACACATACCGTAAACCTTTGTATGAAAAAATTTTTTCGCGCTCGATAAAATTAACATTTATAATTTGTTGGTCTAAACCTGTCAATTGAGCGATTCAATTGAGTTTATATTACAGGATAATCAGTGTTTTAAAGAAATAAATGGGATTTATTACACTTTAAAATTGTTTATACAGGGTGTTTCATAATATATGCGCAGGACTTCAGGATGTGATAGCTCATCCAAAAAGATGAAAAAAGTCGCTATTAACTTACGCTCTAAAATGCACAATTTTCGAGATACAGGGTGTTGAAATTATAGAAAAAAATTAGTTTTTTTCGAATATCTCCGGAACCGTTTATCGTACAAAAAACAGCTTTTGTAAGCATTTTCTACTCAAAATAAGCTATGTTTTGTGACAGAAAAATTTTTTTTTTCCTCATAATTGGTGGAGATTTTGAAGGGGTAGCGGGTGTTTTTCTCCTTAACTTCTACGCCCCTGAAAAAAGTACGGTTTTGAGAGGCTCATTCGAACCACCAATGTTTTCTACACAAAAAAGGTACTCTTGTTCATAAGCTCTAAACTTGACCGTTTTCAAGAAAAATCAACTTTTATGTTTAAAAACATGATCAATTTAAAAAAAAAATAATTTTTTTTTACTAAATAAACAAAATTTATTTTAACATTAGAACAAGTAACAAAACCAAACCATAATTGCAAAATAAAAAATGATTCAAAATTGTCTTTGCTAAATTCTCCAAACCGCAAAGGTAACGCATTTCGCACATTTCAGCATTTGTGTAAAAAATCATTTTTTATTTTTTTTTTAATTTTGCAATTATCGTTTGGTTTTGTTACTTTTTCTAACGTTAAAATAAATTTTGTTTAATTAGTAATAAAAAAAAATTTTCAAAAAATTGACCATGTTTTTAAACATAAAAATTGATTTTTCTCGAAAACGGTCAACTTTAGAGCTTATGACCAAGAGTACCTTTTTTGTGTAGAAAACATTGGCGGTTCGAATGGGCCTCTCGAAACCGTACTTTTTTCAGGGGCGTAGAAGTTGAGGAGAAAAACACCCGCTACCCCTTCAAAATCTCCACCAATTATGAGTAAAAAAAAATTTTTTCTGGCACAGAACATAGCTTATTATGAGTAGAAAATGCTTACAAAAGCTGTTTTTTGTACGATAAACGGTTCCAGAGATAATCGAAAAAAACGATTTTTTTTCTAAAATTTCAACACCCTGTATCTCGAAAATTGTGCATTTTAGAGGGTAAGTTAATAGCGACTTTTTTCATCTTTTTGGTTGAGCTATCACATCCTGATGTCCTGCGCATATATTATGAAACACCCTGTATTTAGGGATGTAAAATGACGGTCATTTATTTATGTGACACGTGACATGTCATTTATGGTCATTTTTATTTCCTTATCTTTAATGTATATCTATAGATATAGAAGCATCAGACAAGTGGCAAGTGACTAAAACATTAATAGGCATAAACTTAAACATAACCGTATTTGTAGTAATTTGTCCATTTTGAATAAGGTAGATTTATTTTACATACACCTTCAAAATAAATGTATTTGAAAAAAAACAAAATTTAAACAATATCAAAAAATTAAACAAAAAGTAGAATATAAAGATATCTAACTGGTTTAAAACCAGTTGTAATCAAATTTTTATGTCATATTTATAGTCATCGACATCAAAGTCATCTAATGACTTAAAAAGGGCAGCTTCCATCTCCTGGCTTGGGGCGGCATCGATCTAACGTTTTTTTGTGTTCGCGTCGGAGGATCGCAAGCCTGACACGCGCCAGGCGGGTGGAGTCGAAAGTCAGCTGATATTTTTGTGACCATCATATATTTTTTTGACTGTCATAGTTTAATGATGGTCAGTTATTTTTTTGACAGTCAAAAATTTCAATTGTAAAAAATTAATGACAAGGGTGTCACAAAAATAAATGATATGACTGACATTTTCATTATGACCGTGACATGACATTGTCATAAACATTTGCTTACATCCCTATTTATATTGCATCAGTGCAGAACTCTTTGGAAATACACGCGTTAAAATTTCTATTCCTTTGGAATGATGATCCTTGGTTAACTACAGGTCGATTTTTTATTTTTTTTCGGTAATCCCGTGCAATCGCTACATGTCGCTAACAACATGTGTCTAATAAAAATAAAAAAAATATTGTGTTAATTTTATACGGAAAATACACCGTGAGACAAAGTTACCCGCAACCAGGGGGATTTTTAATTTTTTTTCGGTAATCCCGTGCAATCGCTACATGTCGCTAACAACATGTGTCTAATAAAAATAAAAAAAATATTGTGTTAATTTTATACGGAAAATACACCGTGAGACAAAGTTACCCGCAACCAGGGGGTAACTTTGCACACCCCGTTTTTTAATTTTTGAAACAGCCATACGTAATATTATAACATAGTTATTATGAAAGAGCAACTCAAGACTCAAATTTTGGTATATAATATTTAATGTTTATGATTGTTAAAACCACAAAAATTTTAAGCTTAAGTTTGAAAGTGAACTAAAGCCACCCGTGTTTACGGTACTTATAAGATTACAAAATTTGTATTTAATACACTATACATTATTTAATATAAAAATTATGCAAAAAATATCAAACTTTTTATTGAAGTGGACCTCATAGACCATTATGGGCAAAATATGGCGAGTATAAATTTGTACCAAGACAAAGATGGATCCATAATTTGGAACATGGTACCATTGTAATGCTGTACCACCCATGTGCAAATCAAGAAGAAGTTAAACTACTTAAATCCATAGTAAAATCTTGTCTTTATAGACATGTGATAACCCCCTACAACTTGCTATCAACAACTAGGGTAAGAAACATTAAATATTACATTACATTTTAAATAATTTATTTATTACAGCCTTTAGCTCTGGTGACATGGGGACAACGTTTAGAAATGTCCAAAGTAGCGACTGAAGTTGCGATAGACTTTATTAAAGAACACGCTTTGAAAGGGCCAGAACAAACTTCTCGAGACGGACAGTATGATTATTTGTTGTTGGAACATGCCGAGGTTCCCGCTGGGTCAAATATTAACGATACATTGTTGTGCCCCCAAGGTGTTCTTAAGATGTAACTGATTATTTGTGATTTTGAGTGCCAAACTCTTTTACATGTTCAATTATTATAATATGCTCTACTACAATTAAAACTATACAAAATATACCTTAATAATATTCTGAAGTGCTTTACTTTATAGCCATGCATGTGATGGTTGATATAACCAAAGTATTGGCACATACTTCAACAGTGTCCTTTGCATAATAAATCAGAAAAAGAATTATATAGGGGGAATTATTTATCAAATGGGATCAATGTTGGACATAACATCTCCAATTTGACTCAAATTTTGCATAGGGTACTAAAATAAGCGTCTTTTTAACATTTGCCTATTTCAATAACATTAAACTTTAATTTAAGAAAAAAATATTTAAGGAATTATCTAGGGGGTTCATTTTTTGTTTGCCTCTGTCTTTAAATACTGCACCAGAAAAATATATTTTAGTCTTATTTTAGTTTTTCAAAATAACGAAATAAAGCCCAAAACAGAAAAAAAATAAAAAATCAAATTCCAAAAAAGTATGTCCTTTGATTATATTCATATTGATGTTTAATACTCTTATATAGTTGTAGTTTCTGCTCATAAAAATATTTACGGGAATCAAAGAATTAAAAGTAATGGAGCCTTAAATACATTATTGTTATTACAACTTGTACAAAAAAAATTAATAACTTAAAAGGAATGAACTATATATTTTATATTAGGCAAAAATTTAAGTTACCAACAAACTTGACAAATCTGTGGGTAAAAGGCATAAGGGGATAAGTCAAAAAAAGCAATTTTTCAATAGAGCCTTTAACGTGTGCATTAATTCAGGAAATATATTTATGTTTAGCGGGTATACGCTTTTGTTAGCATATGGCATGTGCTAACAAAAGGGTATACCCGCTAACCATAAATATGTTTCCTGAATTAATGCGAATACTTTTAAGGCTCTACTGAAAAATTGCCTTTTTTGACTTATCCCCTTAAGTCTTTTACCCACAAAAATGTAAAATTTTTATTTTTCTAGCCTAAATAATTCAAGCTCAGTATATTGAACAACTTTATAAAGTTGTTCAATATACTGAATGTTTTTGAGCGACATCTATGATCTATGATCGATTGCCATCTCGCTCATGCGCGTATCATTCTTGTCGGGGTGACTCATCGTAAAGTTTGACAGTTTGTTATGTATGGACAGTTTTCAACAATGGCCGATGTTGTTGTTTGAAATTGTGTGTTGTTTTGGGTTTTTAAGGTAAGTTTAATTATTGTGGTAGGTGATAAACTTTTATAAAACTCCAGTTTTGAATTTCTAAACTAAATAAACCATTCAGTTAGTTATAGAAACAAATTGTTGAATCGTAAATTAATGCTTTGTTTTTTGTTTTCGCGGTGCTAATCCCGAACTAGTTCGGACATCCTAGGCATGCGCATTTTAATATTTGTCATGCGCACTTTACATTTTGAACGCCAAATTTTAAAAAGCGCATGCCTAGAATGTCCGGAATTAGTTCGGGATTAGCTCCGCGAAAATAGCTATTATTAAATTTATGTTAATTTTATTTGGAACTTATTGTTTAAGCGTTGAGTGAAGGAACACACCTTAATCAATGGTTTAAGGACTAACCAAGGAGAAACAGGATACAAGGATTGAGTGAACTCATCACTTAAAACATAAATAAGGTAAATTTTATTTTTAAAATTATATTGTAAAAAGGTGTGACATACTTTATGGATGATCCCCAATTGTTTATTTTAAGTATTCCACTTTTTAGTCGGACAAAATACTTATTTATATATAACGTATAACCTATGTTAATAGATTTAACTGTAATGTTGCTATTTTTGTGTAATATACACAAGGTATTAAAAATGTAATAAATAAGATTTTTTGTCACTAAGAAAATTGACTGTTGTAAATGTTAATTAAGTATTTGTTTAGCATTATATCAGAGACTCTTGGATGAATGTGCACAAACGATGATCAAATTATATTACCTGATTAAATACTTATTACCTACCTATTTAAAAACTCATAATATCTTACAATTGTATTATTATTATTACATTAATGTATTTTCATTCATAGTTACTGACTGTCTTTATAATGTATAAAACAAATTGTTTTAAATAATCAATATTTTTCGTGTTGAAATTCGGCTCTTTAAATTTTATTGTATTAAAATATACTAATATAATACTTAACTTATCTTCAAGTAATTATTAAATTCACTTTTGTTATAGAAAATCTAAAAATGACTTAAAATATATATATAGTAACATTATTTATTTTACTACAATAAAATCTAAACAGGCAAATTTATATAAAATATGTAATGTAATTAATTAACTACATTATTTGTAATAATAAACCATTAATTTAGGTTATATTGCCCTTCTATTTATGTATATATGTACCAATAAATGTTTATTTTAAATAATTTTGTATTTTTTTAATTAAAAATAAGTATTTTTAAATAATAACCTATTCAAATTTCGCGGGCTACGGAACCGTATCGAAAAACTACTAGAGGATAAATGTAGCAAAGTATTCCTCAAGGTTATGACGAATAGCTGTTATCTTGGTTATGCAGGTACACTGCATTGTGCCATACCAAACCAACCCAAACTAAACAACCCAACCCAACCGACCCCGCCCCATTGGGCCCCTCCCGCCCCATTGAGCAATAGAGGTATAATATATCTAAGGGCATATCTTCTTCTTCTTCTTCCTGTAGCTCCTTCTGGAGCAAAGGGCACCTGTAAAGGTGTTTCTAGGGCTTTCTATGGTCAAAGTGATGGTAGAGTAGCTAATTCTACGCATCGCCATTACATCCTTTCTACCAGTTCCTTCCATGTTTGTCTGTTCTTCGCCATGTTCCTTGCTTCTGTCCATGTTAAACCTTGTTTTTGGAGTTCTTCATTTATTGTTCTTCTCCATGTGTTATTTGGCCTGCCTGTTCTTCTTTTTCCTGGAATCTTATAGCTGAGTGCTTGTCTTGCTATGCTTTTGTTATTTTTTCTTAGTGTGTGTCCTATCCATTTTCATCTGTTTTTCCTAATTGTTCTTTCCACTTTTTCTTCTTCTGTAGTTCTGTGTAATTCTTCGTTTGTTATAGTGTTTGGCCAGAATATACCACATATAATTCTCAGACATTTATTAATAAAGGTTTGAATTTTTCCTATGCTAGTACAATTTTTCCATGTTTCTGCACCATATAATAAAATGCTTTTTACGTTTGATCTAAATATTCTAATCTTGTTTTTTCTGGATAGGATTGTTGATGACCATATTTTGTTTAAACTTTTAAAGGATTTTTGTGCCAGAGAAAGTCTTCTTTCTATATCCTTTTCGGTTCCGCCTTCCACACTAATTATACTTCCCAAATAACAGAATTCCTTTACTTCTTCTATTTCTTTATCGTCCATAATTATATTGTCTTCGGTTTCATTGTTTGTTAGCAGTTTCGTTTTTTTGCGTTAATTTTTAGACCCACTATCTGTGCGTTTCTTTCTAGCCTTTTTGTTTTATCTTGTACATGCTTTTTTCTCGTCGCCAGGAGACAGATATCATCGGCGAATTCTAGGTCTTCTAACCTTTTAAAAACTTCCCATATTATTCCACTTTTCCGATCTTCAGTTCTTTCCATAACCCAGTCCATAGTTATTATGAAGAGTAAGGGTGACATCCTACAGCCTTGGCGCACTCCCTTTTCTAGTTTAATTCCCTCAGAGAGATTTCCTTCGTGTTCTATTTTTGCTATATACTCTTCATAAAGCATTTTTAATATTTTTATAAATTTTTCAGGTACTCCCACATCCTTTCCCGTTTAACTGAATCGAACGCCTTTTCAAAGTCGATAAAATTTATATGAATTTCTTCATTTTTTTTCCGCTACTTCTTCTAAGATAAGTCTTAGTGTGCATATGTGGTCGATGCACGATCTGTTTGATCTAAATCCGGCTTGGTTTTCTCGTAGTTTTTTATCTATCGGTTCCCTCATTCGATCTATTATTATTTTTGTCATTATTTTGCTTGCAACGCTTAAAAGTGTAATTGGCCTCCAATTCTCACATGCAGATAAGTTTCCTTTTTTTGGTAGCTTGATAATTATTCCCTGATTCCAGTCCTTGGGTATATTTTCTTCCTCCCATATTTTCTTTAATAAGATGTAGAATACATTAACGGACAATGTAAGATGGGCTTTAATTAATTCAGCCGTTATTCCGTCTATTCCTGCTGCTTTGCCATTCTTTAGACTTTTTATTGCAAGTTTTATTTCCTCTTTGCTAAATTCTCCTTGGTTTATATTCATTTCATTATGTTTATTTTCCATACTTATAGGTTCCTGGTCTTCCTCTTTTTCTTTATACATTTCTGTAAAATATTCTACCCATCTTTTCATTATGTCTTTGTTTGTGGTATATACTTGTCCTTCTTTTCCTAGTATTTTTTGAGTCTGTGTATATTTTTTTCCTTTTAAAATATTTGTTATCTGATATAATGTTTTTATATCATGTTTCTGTGCTGCTTCTTCTGCCTCTTTTGTTAAAAGTTCGATATATCTTCTCTTATCCCTCCTAGCACTGGTTTTTACCTCTCTGTTTTTGTTGTTGTATTCTTCTTTCATTTTCTGGTCTTCTTCTTTTGAACTGAGTATTTTCATTTTTACTTTCTTTCTTTGTTCTATTTTTTCCTTTGTTTCTCTTGTAACCCATGGTTTGTCAATTTTATGTTTATATCCTATAGTTTCTTTAGTCGTTTTTAAAAGGGTATTTTTATATTTTTGCCAGATTTGTTCTATGCTTTTTTGACTTAAGCTTTCTAGGCTTCCCATACAATCTTCTAATTTGTCTTTAAATTTGTTTTGAATCTCCGGATCTTCTAAGTATCTTAAATTGAATTTTTCCCTTTTCAGTCCTTGGGTGTAATTTGCTTTTAAACTTATTCTTATTTTCCCTCTTACTAGTTCGTGATCCGTTGCCACATCTGCACCTCTCATAGCTAAGGGCATATACTTTACGTTTATTTAATTAAAATCTATATTATGCAACCAGATTACGGCTGTTAAAAACTAAGGTAATTTAATTGTTTTAGAGAACCTATAAAAACTATGGTAAAAAATACCATTGTTTTTATAGGTTCTTATTTTTTCTTTCCTAAAAAATAAAAGAAAAAATAATAAATTGTTTTTAGAAACAATATAATTTATATTAATTAATGTATGCATTTTTGTAACATTTCTTATTAATATTCTTTTTAAAATTTAAAAATATGAGAAGTTTGCATTTTTGTATGTTTTGTTAGTTTTTGAGGGTAGGTATAATATCTACCTATACGCTCAAAAAGTAAAACATAATTTTTTTTTACATTTTTCATTAATATTCTTATTAAAATGTGAACAAATATACCCACCTATTAGTAAAGCATTCAAATAGGTACTACAAACTTCTTGTCGGTTTTTTATAAAAATTTCAATTGATTTTTTACAACCTGGATTTAAGAACACTGCTTAAAGAAATCTAGGTATCTAATCGCCAAGGTAAATAAATATTTTTCACTTATAATGCAAGAAAATGGGGTTGTTTATTATTTTAAAACGAAATAATGTTTTTAAATAAAAGTGGTATAGGTACCTAAATTAATTCTTAAGAATTATGTTGTATAAAATATCTTATTTTAATGTAAACACTGTATATCAATAGGTAGGTACTAAGAATCAGCTAAAGTTAATTGCATTGGGATACTTATAAAATAAAATTTCTAGTCAAAATAAGCATAAGCAATTAAATTATTCCATTCTTTGCATTTGAATAATCATTCGAATGCATAGTAGGTATTCAATTCTAAAAATCTTTGATTATCCCTTTATATAGGTGGTAGTTACATTTCCAGTTTTAACTTTACTTCCAAAATTATTTTAAGTAAATATTAACAATTTTATTTTAAGTAAATATTAATCATGATGCATATGATGTGTAATTTATTGGAACTGATTTTCTTACCTTATGTACGTTTAGCAGATCCACCAAGGTATTTTCTGCCACTGGACATTTGTTTAATGTTTTTAACTTCTTTATTAGCTTACCTTTAAAGGTTTATTTTTCGCCATTCTAAACCAATCATTTAATGGCTACCCGGCACACTTCGGTCTATCGACGACTATCAAATAGGTAATAAAAGAACCGTACCGATTGACTACTGTCGGAAGTCTAGAACACATAAATTATATTTTAGGGTGTTTTTTAATAAAAAATATATTAGTTGTTTTTTATTTATACATATTGTATGTATATAGATAAATACCTATAGGTATTGCTTATGTGTATTGTTAATCTGACTTTTCAACACCAAGTTGTCGGGGGCCCCTTTAAATGGCAGGGCCTGGGGATGTAGCCCCCTTTTAATCCAGGGCTAATTATTGACCATTGATAATTTATTTTAATTTTTATAGCGTTCGCAACAATGACAAACTTTTGTATTTACTTATGTTGGCAGGACTGAAAAATCTTAATGGTTCTTTTTATTATCAGTAGGGATACTAATTTTTTGTAAGTAGTAGTCTTTAATAAACTCAAACAAAAAGTAACATAAAAAAATCGTACAGAAACACTGTAAAATAAAGTCTTAAAAATATGAATATGAACTGTTGACTCATCTACCAACAAAATAACATAGACAAATAACTAGATTTTGGATTGCCTTACAATAAATAATTACATTTTTATCACGTATGAAAATTGTTTAATTAACTAAAAATGCGTTTATTTTTCATTCTGTGCCTTCTTCTCTCTGGCCTTTTTGCCTTCTGTCAAAGATAATCTGTCATCTTCTGATAACATTGGAAGTGTCTTTGTTACAACACCAGTGCCTAGAGTTTGGGAACCATCTCTGAGTGTAAACCTTTGTCCTTTTTCCAGCACCATTGGTCTCATCATTCTTAATACCAACCTAAAAAATAAACATAATTAAAAGTTCTAAAAAAATAAATAATGAAATAACTTACTTAGAATCTTCTCCAGGCATAACCATTTCTTTGTCAGGGACTACAACTTGAACTGCGCAATCCCACGTTCTGCAGAACATTTGCAATTGGATGAAAGACGTGAGAGGTTTTGATTTTCCACCCTCTTCTTTACTTAAAATATACACTTGAGTTTCAATGTTGTCGTAACTTTTTACTGTACCAGGTTTTGCCATTACCATTCCTAAAATAAATTTATAAGACAATGTATTTTTTATAGATATTTATATATCCAGTTTAAATTGACATTCTTAAGGCAGTTATATGTAGCTTTACTTAAAATTCTTTTAACATATACGAGCCCCATGATACAACATTGTATCATGTACGAACCCTGTCCCATATTAGTTGGCCCAGTGAATTCAATGTTGTCAGTTATTCCAGGTTTTTTCCCAGTTTTTTGTTTTTGGGCGACGGAGTTGATTGTTTTGTGTAAACGTATGATATTTGTAATAGTATACAAAGATATATTTTTAAATTGTAAAACACAAAATTTAAAAAAGATATTAAATTTATCTGTCAATTTTATTTGTTGCTACGGTAAGTGTCTTGACTTTTAAGTAAAATTGCTAAATCTGCTTTGTATAGTATAAGTTTGTATAAATCATGGTATGTTCATTTCTAGTAGCAACAGCAAAAATAATTTGTTTTGTTGAAGAAAATTGCAAACTGACTGTAAATAATAAATATTGTTATAGTTATGTATTATAAATTGCGTTTTATTTATAAAATACATTTACAATATTTTCTCGTGACTGGGCCACCTAATATGGGACGGGGCTCGTATATCCAGCTCCCGTGGTTCTTAAAAAAAATAACTGAGTTTAAATGTAGCCAACCAATATTACATGTGGATGGCTTGATCGATTTTTTAATGTTGTAATAAAAAAAAACACTTTCGCATTTAAAAGGATCTTTTATAATTATTAATATTTTTACCTTAAAATCATAAATTACCTCTTTTAACATCATCCCTTTTAATTCCTCTCACCAAAGCGCCAAGTTGATCTCCCGCCTGCGCCTCTTCGAGAATTTGATGGAACATCTCGATACCCGTAACCGTGCTCTTGATAACCTTATTGTACCCCACAAACTCGCATTCGGCCCCCTTTTTGACGACGCCCCGCTCCAAACGCCCCGTCACGACCGTACCACGCCCAGGGATTGAATATGTGTGCTCAACAGGAAGCAAAAACGGTTTGTCCAATTCTCTCTCGGGCGTCGGGATGTAGGCATCGACTTCTTTTAGTAAATTCAGTACTGCATCTTGGCCGATTTCGGGGTTTTTGCCTTCGAGGGCGCACAGAGCCGACCCGGCGATTATTGGGATGTTTTCCCCGTCGAAACCCATCTCGGTTAACAACTCCCTAATTTCCATTTCCACAAGTTCGACCATTTCCTTATCGGCGGCGTCAACTTTGTTGATGAATACCACGATGTGTTTTACACCGATTTGTTTCGCTAACAGTAAATGTTCGCGGGTTTGCGGCATAACCCCATCGGTTGCGGCTACAACCATTATAGCCCCGTCCATTTGGGCGGCACCTGAAAGTCACAGGGATTTAACATTTCCGGGAAAAAGTTTGTCACACGAGCCAAAGCCGAGTTCTGACCGTTGCACGGGAGCGGAATATGCAGTTCCAAACTATACTATTTCCACGCTTATGAAAATTACCATAGAGAAATAGTTGGAAGAAAGTAAAGTTAGATCGGTTTGAAAGTTATAAATAAACAGAGATGTTGCCACCAGTGCCTGTTCCCCATATACTTAGTAAGTATTACTTACTACACATATACAGAGCATTTGGGATACAGGCGGTTTCCTTTTCGTGGGGTTAAAGTAGGGGCTAACTACTTATGCATTTTTGCACATCCTTGGGCCTCGTGGATGTAATTATATTATAATATTATTTTTTTAATTTAATAAAAAATTTTATATCATTATAAATTTGGCTAAGTCTTATTTTATTACCCAAGGAGATTATAATCATACATTTTGTATTACTGTTTGAATTTGTTTTTTTATTGTTTACTTTGTTTTGAGCTTTTACATGATTTTTGGATCTTTTTGATCTCTGTTTTGGAATGTTTTAATTTAATTTACATAGATTATACTCCTTAATTTAGATTAGATTAATTTTGTTTATTTAGGGTTAGGATTTTTTAGTTTTAGATAATGCTAGTGTTTTTCGTTTGTAAATAAGTTTTATTATTATTAAAAATTATCTATTTTATTTAAACTATTCGAAACATTCAAAATTTCAAATTATTCTAATAGTTTAAAGATTAGATTTCAATTTGAATCGAATATAAGTATTTTAATTAATTCAAGCAGCATTCACACCCCAATTTCAAATCTCATAAAATTATCTCATTCCCAATTCTTGATCAAAAATATAATAAATTTACAGCAAAAGTTTACTTTTTTAATACACTACATGGGTAGATTTATTTTTTTTAAACTCTCTTTTACAAAATCTCCAATTTTTTGTATGATTTAAAAGAATAAATAAACACAATTAAAGTCATATTATTATTTTCTGTATTTTGCGAACCAAATATGCATTTATGATTTTTTTAACAAAATAATGTTTTCTTACTACCTCGACTCAAAATACGTTGTTTCGTCCCCGATTCCACGGCAGAAAGTTTACGTTTTATGCATTGGTCAAGCTATACGCGCACACTCTAATAGCGGGAGTAAAAATTTTTTAGTCGTGTGCTTAACATTCAAATTTCGTACTGCCAACATGAGAAACACAAAAATATGACAGTTTTAAACCATAATTTTGCAATTATAACAACAAATAAACAATTTATGTTTTTACTTTTTTACTTTTTATGTTGTTTTAAGTGTTTAATGGTACTTTTATTTGTTATAAAGTAGTAATTTGTTAATTAAAATACAACGTTTTATTTTTACTGTATTGGCACCGCTGAATTCACGGCCTACTGTTATTTATTTATTAAGCTCTTCAAATGGAGATAGGTACATAAATACACATTTAATTTTTTCCCGTATTTTCGGCCGGGTTGCATTTATTCATAACCATCAAACATTATTGATTTTTTAATGTCCCACTTTTGAACTGCACGTGCGCAATAGGTAGAGAATAGCCAGCCTCCCCTTAAAAACGGCAACAAGGTCATCTATTCAAAATATAGGGAATAAGCGGTATATGTGTGGTAACTATATGCTGTTCCTATATACTTACCACACATATACAGATCATTAGGGATTCAGGCTTTCCTTTTCGTGGGGTTAAAGTAGGGGCTAGCTACTTATGCAGTTTTGCACATGCGTGAACCGTGTTGTCAGATGTAATTATATTTTAATATTATTTTCGTTATTATAAAGCTTATAAAATATCTTATATTGCAAAATTTATACAACGAAAATATTATTTTATTAGTAAAAATGTTCCCACATCTGTAAGATCGCGCGTTAAAGATAAATTATTAAAGAAAAATAGTTGGCTTTTAATAGCTGAACATCTGCAGTATGATGGTAAGTATATTTCTATTATAAATACCAAAAACATTAAATAATATTTAATAAATATCCCCAAAATATTGAAATAATTATGTTAATTGTGAATCTTCTCGTTTTCGTTTAAGTTTCCGTTCTCGTTTTCGTTAGCGTTCCCGAGTAATTGTGCAGCCGCCTTTAGCAAACACTATCTCTGTGGGTAAAAGGCATAAGGGGATAAGTCAAAACAATCAATTTTTTTGTAGTGCCTTAAACGTGTTCGCATTAATTTAGGAAATACATTTACGGTTAGCGGGTATATACTTTTGCCAGCACATGCCATATGCTAGCAAAAGGGTATGCTCGCTAACCATAAATATATTTCCTGAATTAATGCGAATACGTTTAATTCTCTTCCGAAAAACTGCTTTTTTTGACTTATCCCCTTATGCCTTTTACCCACAGATCTACCAACAGTGATTTCTTAGTCTCTCCCACCTTCACTGTTCAGATTCCCGTTACCGGGCTATTGTGCAGCGGGCTTTAGTTATAAATGGTTTGTACATGTGTGGAAGTCTGTGCTGTTCCCACATACGTTTACACATATACTGCTTATTTGCTATAGATGACTTTGTTTCCTTTTTTGTGGGTAAATTTGTCGATTTGCCCTATCATTTTATCTTATGCGCATAGTCAGTTCATAAGTGTATTAATACGTCCATGTATGATATGAATTGTCAACTAAATAAATTTCAGTGGTTCGGCTTTATAAAAAGCAAAAAGTGGCATAATATACATATTATGTAAAAGCCACTAAAAATCTCGTTAACCCAATGGAAAAAAACAATGCCAAAACAATTGATATACAACAGAAAACAAACAAATGGTTTATTATTCTTGATGTTATAAACATGCCATTATAAAATCCATGTATCATTTTTAGTGTTTATTATTGTTAAATGTTTTTGTCATACAATTTATTAAAAATTATTTATTATACAGGGTGTTATGTAATTAATGTTATATATTAAAATGGGTTGTTCCTTAGGGTCCATAAAGAAGCACCTGAAACTTTTTTTTTCTAAATTCCAAAGTCTAAAAATAATTTATAATAACCTTTATCCTACCAAAAAGTACGCCACTGATCGACTAGGAACTTTAGGTTAATCTGGTGGATTTATTATGTTATGGTTGGTAACAACAGTGTTTCCAAAATCTCTCAAAAAAGTTGACAAACATTGTTTAAATTTAGCTTAATTACAAAAATGACAAAATTAACAATGCAAATTGTCAATTTGGCGTTTTTATTAATTGTTGGTTATGTCATTTTTGTACTGAAGGTAAATTCAAACAAAATCTGACAACTTTTATGACAGAATCTAGTGCATTTCTTTTACATTTTAGGTTATGTTTTCAAATTGTAAATATCTTAACTAAGGGAAGTGCTTTTGGATTTATTTACACAAATTAAATGTTTAAAGTTTAACCTGTGAACTGGTCCCAATTTCATCTGAGTAAACAGAGAAAAAAACTGATGAAAAAATTAATTTTGTGGTTATGGATTTCAAATTTCAAAGGTACTAAATTTTCTAATCATTGCTTAAGCTAATAGAGTTTTTATTTATTTTTTGCAAGAAAAATTTTTAGTAACAATTTTTTACATCTGGCAACGCATAGCTACTTTGTTGGTTGGTATCTATGTACTCACAAAATACAAGTGTGCAGAGATAAACAAAGTGTGTAACCAGTGGCGTATCAAAAAAAATATAAAAAACTTCTAATGCATATTTTTTCTTTATCTTTGGAAAAATGTTTTTTTAAATATTTTTCCTTTATTCCTTATGTCAAAAGGTATTCAGTATTTTAATATATAACATTAATTACATAACACCCTGTATATTCCAAATAAGGACAAAAAAATTGTATTTTTTCCTACCAGGGCTGTTCCGAGTACAATGAAAAAGTACTCGAGTACTGAATACAAGTACTCTTATATAAAAGTACTCGAGTACCAAGTACAAGTACAGTACCGTTGTACTCGAGTACCCATACGAGTACAAAGTACCGAGTACATTACGAGTTATGAAATGTTGGAAAAAATGCTAGAGAAATGGGGCGATTAAGAAATAAATTTAGAATCACTATTGCAAAACTAAATCCTAGTCGGCCTATTGCCTTCATCAAATATTGATATTTCGCTTTATGGTAATTATCAAGGCCGGCTAGTATCTTGTTTTACTTTGCCTTAGCTTTATTTTTTAATTTTTTTTTTGAGGAATATAACAAACAAATGGTTTATTATTCTTGATGTTATAAACATGCCATTATAAAATCCATGTATCATTTTTAGTGTTTATTATTGTTAAATGTTTTTGTCATACAATTTATTAAAAATTATTTATTATACATTCCAAATAAGGACAAAAAAATTGTATTTTTTTCCTACCAGGGCTGTTCCGAGTACAATGAAAAAGTACTCGAGTACTGAATACAATTACTCTTTTATAAAAGTACTCAAGTACCAAGTACAAGTACAGTACCGTTGTACTCGAGTACCCATACGAGTACAAAGTACCGAGTACATTACGAGTTATGAAATGTTGAGAAAAATGCTAGAGAAATGGGGCGATTAAGAAATGAATTTAGAATCACTAGTGCAAAACTAAATCCTAGTCGGCCTATTGCCTTCATCAAATATTGATATTTCGCTTTATGTTAATTATCAAGGCCGGCCAGTATCTTGTTTTACTTTGCCTTAGCTTTATTTTTTAATTTTTTTTTGAGGAATATTGTCACCTATTTCTACCAAAATATAAACAAAATTACATTTCATACATAAGTAAAAACCTTTTGTTCAATGCTCTTTCCTGTGTCTTTTTATTTATTGATTGAGGCTGTCTTAAGGCTTTTGTCTGAGGCAGGCTGGCTGAGGCTGCCTCAGGTAGCATGTCCGTAATTTGACGAGTCTGAGCAGTGTTGCCAAATTTTCAACACCCACGCACATATTTGCACATATTTCCAAGCCAACCTCACCGCATTAAAATGTACTCATTGCATACTTTGGATGTACTCGAGT